GTGGAGGTATTAGCAGTTCTGCCCTGATGCAGCCAAAGCTCTCAGGCTGGTTCTCATACTTTGGTGAGGTTGAAGCAGGCATGGACCACAAATCTGTTTCAGGCCCTCCTGGGCTCACTCTTACTCCCCGTCTAGAGCTGCTTTACATTTCTTTAGTAACCCTGAGTTTGGTCATGCTTGGGATGGTGTCCTTGCATTTAGGTCAGGGTAAATGTTGCTGTCCGTTTTAGCAAAAAAAGATTTTTTTTTTTTTTTTTTTTTTTTTTTTTAGTGTTACAAAGCAAACCCAACAGAGATTGCATTTTTCTTGAGGAATTTCTCTCTGTTTCTCCTTTTTGGGCCCATATCCCATTATTCTCCTACCTTTTGCATTTTCAGCGCTGCATCTTGGCAAATCTGCGTGCCGCGCCGGCCTGCTGACTGCGGCAGGCAGCATCTCGGTGATCAGGAGGACAAACGTGTGAGGGCTTGTGAGGACACCAAGCTGCCGTGGCCAGGCTCTGCCGGGGGCTCTGTCAGTAGCTTCAACTGATGTAGTTAGTGTTGCTGCTTGCAGCAGGGGCGGCTAATGCGATGCTTGTGTTGGTGCTGGGGAAGGGCTTCAGAACGAGTTGGAGTGTTTTGTTGGGCAGTGTGCGCCCTTTGGGGSTTGTTTTAATGCTGAGAGGCTAGATTTTCAGTTCACAGATTTACAAAATCTTTCAGTTAACAGATGTACAAATACAGGACCCGATCTCACAATGCTTAATTGCGTTGTAGAACATATTGGCATGGGGTTGCTTATAGACCACGGGTGTGATGGGATTCAATAAACAGATATATATTAATGTCAAAAGTGATTAAAACCTGTACTTCAGTTTAGAAAATCCTTAAACTTGTGATTGCCAGGAACTGGAAAAACTTAGAGAGAGGGATCACTGTCTGTCTGTGTGCTAGGAGCTCAGGCTGGCCAGAGCTTTGAAGAGGAGCTGACTTTCTTCACAAGCAAACGTCACCACCCCTAGAAACAATCAAAAAGATTGGAAAGCTTTTATAATAAAAGTACAAGGACGAGGCTGCTCTGCAACACAGGCGAGTCCTAGGGCTCACCCTCCTCCATGAAAAGCAGTGCTCCTCTGGAATAACAGCAGCTGGCTCCAGGTGGAGAGAGAGGCAGGGCTTTAATTGTCCTTTCCTTTCCCATTTCACTTTGCCCTGTGGCAAGGACTGCAAAATGAGATTTTGGAAATGCCACCTCTTGTGCAGAGCACAYGGATAGAAGGTATTTATGTGTCCTCTGTTTTTTGTTGCCATCATGTTCTAGCGTAAGACTCTCTTTCATGTCAATATCCCATAGCAGGCTGAAATATGCAGGATCTGCATACGTTATCATTCCAGGCTATTTAGTCTCATTCCTTCGTTTATGAATGTGTCCTTGGCTTGCTCTGCCCTTCATCTGTAGTGGCAATTTTAGGTMCCTCAGATATTAAGAGAAAAGAGCCTGTTAAGAACAGCCTTCACAGCAAACAAGCAGAGTAACCAATAAATACCTTTTGACACTGGAAAAAGAACGAGTACATACAGAGAACAGCTTAATAGGCTGGGAAAAGCACGTGAGCTATGTAAGAATGCACCTCTATGTGCTTCCTGTATGCGCATGAAATACATATCACAGTGTATTTAATCCAGGAGTCTRCTACACGTTAGAGCCTCTTTTTCCTAGATTAGGAGACAAGAAGAAAGACTGAGTTCCTGCTTCAGCAGATATTTATCTGTGTGCTCGACTAATGCAGTTTTACAATCATCTTAATCTGATTTTTCAGGCGATGAAAAGACTTAGTTCTTCCATTTGCAGAGACAAGTATGAACAGAGCAAGTCTTGGGTTTGGAGAATGGAAGCCTGATAAGAAACTCAAGTTGAGGGAGAAGGGAGCCTGATGGGTTTAGGAGATTATTTTATCTTTTTTTCATTATTTTTAAAATTGAGGGGCACTGGGAATGATTCTGGCAGTCATATTCTGGCTTTAAGAGATTTGCGGACTCTCCAAGTCAAACTAGGAGGTAGAATCACATGGAAATTTCTTTTTTTGTTTTCTTAAACGTGCAAGTTCTTGGTTTGTTGAGATTCTTGTGGCCAGTGAGAGGGACATTTCTAATGCTCTTTTACTGGGGAAGGGAGGTTACTAAGATAAATAGGAATTTCTTCCCATTGTAGCTTGCATTAACAGTGTTACATTTAGTTGCCTGGGAATTCCTCTTTTTGTTTTGTTTCTATTTTCCACATAGAAGCAGCTCCGTGACCAAAGTCCCCCCAGATGTGCTGGCCATGCAGGGACTCTGCCAGACCGCAGCAGCCCAACGTGCACTTAGCCGAAATTAGAAACTTCTTGTTGTCAAAGGCCCGGGAAAAGTTGCCCACTGAGATCAGATAAACACATTCAGATGGATTAATTTGGTCTGAATGAAGAAAATGAAGGAGAATCGGGTTGTTATAGAAAGTGTCATCGTGTAACTAAAAATTGATTTTGACCTTTGTGGAGATGTGAATGTCACCTTCTAATAAAAGAAACTCTTGGATGATTGCTGCAGGTCAGGCAGACAGTGCTTGAAAGATTCCCCAGCAACCCTGATTTGTTTTGACATGTTTTTTTGGTGTAATACCAAGTTTAATCTTTCTGTATCTTCCAGATATTTGCTTGCAGTCAGTGTTGGTCTGAATCCTCTGCAGCCTTGGCAGTTGATAAATGATATTATAAAGAAATCATCCCTTTTACTTACTCTACTACAATGCTTTTCTCTTCTGCCATCAGACTAGCTTCCTGGAGGGTCTAACAAGAAAATTGGCCCCATTTCTCTCACAACAAAGGCAGGAGAATTTACACATGGCAACACAGAGAATTTTCTGCCAACTGCAGTGTTTGATTTGGGGCACTGTGCACTTAGACGTCCTCACATAGTGAGGAGACAAACAGATTTGCTCTGCTGCCTTTCTTTCTCTGGAAACTGTGTGCTAAGTATAATGTCTGTTCCTAAAAATATGGCTTGATTTTGTCCTGTTATATGTTTAGTTTGTTTTTAAATAAGCTCTAGATATCTAAAAAAAAAAAAAAAAAAAAAAAGTGTGGCCTGCCCTGTTGTGTGCGCTGGTTTGCACTGCATTGATGTTCAGAAGAGGAACGAGATGAGTAACAGAACTTGGGAAAACAGATGCCCAGAGCCATCTGTTCCTCTGCTCACGGTCATTAGCCGCTCAGCCGCCGTGTGGCAGCGGGAACTCGGAATCGCTCTTGTTTTCTTAGGGCTCCGCTGGTCGGCTCGGAAGGAAGCACAAAATGAGATGAACGAGTCGTGGAGGTGGCCACAGACGCTCTCAGGTTGGCTGCTTGCTTTGCCCAAACGTGCTCTTTACCAAGAAGCTGGGCAGCCTTGCTCCTTGGAGGAGACCTGCTTTGGAGCGACTGCTGCTGAACAGCTTAGTTGGGGCCGGGATCACAGGGTCCCAGGGCTGGCCTAACCCAGCAGATTGGGTATTGACGTGTTTGGGTGAAGCCCAGAGGTACTTGAGGTTAGTGGTGCAATTTAAAAATACATTATTAATGTTTGGAAGACATAAAGCTTCATTAATAATGATAAGCTGCAGTGTTTTGCTTTTCTTAGGCAAATAGGCTTTCAGTGTGCCTTTTCATTCTGCTTTCATGAMATACTGTCTCTCTCTTTGTACACCCTGAGATGCTGGCACCCTTCTGTGCCAGCTGAGATGCTGTGCCCTTCTGGTGTGGGGAGAAGAGGGGAGTGGGGCAGATTTGTGGCGAGGGCTCGTGTTGCTACTGCCAGGGCAGGGGGAGAGTCGCAACAGCTTCACGTGTGCATAAAGCAGAGCTCTTTGCACCATTACCTTTTAAATAGCCTTGCAGTTGTTTAAACTTTGCAACAGGAAATCCCATGGTATGCCCGAAGCAACATGGGCCATGAAAGTAGTTTTCCCATTGTCATCTCCTCTGTTATCACTGAGTTGGTGTTCGTTGTCTCCCCCGAGTCCCGCAGGGGTCTTGTCTGGCAGCACCGACCAAGGAAGCCTCTTGAGAGAGGCCTGAGCCCGGCAGCCCCTTGGCTCTGCAATGGGAGGAAGGGAGCGGGTTTCGGCACTGGCTGCTGCTGCCTGGCTCTGAGAGGGGCCGTCGGCCTCCAGAGGGGTTGGAGGTGGCCGGGGCCAAGTCCTCGCGTAAAACTCAYTCAGAAAAGGTGCCTTTGGAGTGGACTCCAGTTTCAAGTGATGGTTTCTCTGCAGTCCTGACCGTATTTCAACCTGGATTACTCTGCTCCAGCTGTTGAAAATCCCTCCCAGCTCTTTCACTGGATGTGATGTTCTCGGTTGCTTCGGGCTGTTCCCATTCCATAATGCYGCTGTTTCACACTGTTTCCTTTCTCCTGTGTATAAGCGGATTCCTAGTTGGTCTGTGCCTGGGTTTTTGTGCATTACTTTGCTGCTCCTTCAGGGTTCCTTGTAATTATTTCAAAAGAATTTAGATGTGAAAACACTCAATATGTGCATAGCTCCATACTGAAACCAGTGCAGTAGCTTCTGTTGGTAATCTACATTATCAGACATGAGATTGTCTTCCCACAGTATTTCTTTCACCATGAGATTCAATTTCATGCATGTTAGCCTGAATTAACTGAAAGACATCTGTCTTGGGTGTTTATCAGTTGCCTTGAGCGGGCATTTTCTTGTTCCCGGTGTTTTTTGAGGAAGGCTCCCCATGGTGGGAAGGGAGAACTGGTGCACAGCACTTGTAGGGCATCGGTGCAGGTCACCGAGTGGATGTTGCGGGGATCCGATCTGTTCTCCACGTACACACAGCAGGCAAGGTAGCCRCTAGAGCCTCCCTCCTTCCACAGGCGGCTTGGTAAAGAACGGCCTATGACTGCCTCGTTTACAGCTGTAAAATGAATTTGTGCTGGTTACTTTTCTTCTTAAATCTGCCTGTTGGTAACACTGCGTTTCTTCTATTAGCAGATTAACAGGAAAGCTACCACTGAGAGTCTGCCCTGAGTACGAAGCGGGCCCTGCAAGGCGACTCGCAGAAGCTGACAGCAACCCCCAGCTCCGAGGTGTTCCATGGGGACGGTACCAGATGCGCTGAGGTCTGCCAAGCTTTCCCTGGTGGCAGCTTCCGAGGAGAAGGATCACGTGGGAGACCTGCAGCCCGCCAAGCACCAGCACAAACAGCCAAGCGGAGCGGCAGCCAGCAATGGCTTCCCACCCGCCGTGTCCCGTTCTGCCGGAGTTTGCTCCTTGGACCTAAAATGCCCCCCAGCTGCCGACGCGCAGAYGTGTGAGAAACGCCCCGGGGACGATGCCCGCTGCCCGGGGACCCTTTCCCCTGGGCTCTTGGGCAAGGCTTCCGAGGGGCGTCCTGCRGGCGTAGAGCCTGCTGGTAATGCGCAGCCCCGGGGCAGCGAGGAGCCCGGGCCGGCCGCGATGCCGGCCCCACAGGACGCGCGGCCGCTGGCGCAAAGCRGCCAGGGCGGCTCGAGCTCCCTGGCGCAAGGGGCTGAGGCCGCTCTGAAGCCGCAGGGCGCTGGGGAGCAGCCAGCGCTGGGGGTGTTGGGCTGCCCTGTGCCCAGCAGCCCTGTCAGCGGTCATGAGTCCTCCCGTGTTCCTCAGGCAAACGTCCTGCAAAGCGGGGGAAAAGAAAAGGGAGGAGAAAAAGCTGGTCCTGCTGCGCGTCAGCCRGCCTCTCCAGTGGGGGACACTGAAGGAGATGCGGGGAGAGGCCCCCGGGATGCTCTGGAAGCAGAGCGCGGGGCTGCGGGCGCCGCGCAGTCGAGTCGTGCTGACGGGAGCGCCGCAGCGCAGGGCAGCGACCCCCAGCCCATGTGCGGCGCGGGCCTGAGCCAGCCTGCCAGCTTCAGGGACACGGGAACCATGACCGCTCACACGGAGAACAGCCCTTCCACGCGGGAAGCGGCTGCCAGGACATGGCGGGATGCCGAGGTTCAGGCCGTGGCCAGTGTGGAGAGCAAGTCAGCCTGCACCAGCCCCAGTATCCTATCTGCCTTTCTGAAAAAGAATCCTCCTCTGGAGGAAAAGGAGGAACTGCACATCGTCTGTCAAGGCAGTGGGGGGCTGAGCCAGGCTCAACTTACTGGCAGCTTGTCCTCACACCCAGAGTCCCCATGTTCTTCTGGTATCGTGTCAGAACCGACTGTTGTTACAGCTGTCACCAATACAGCCCAAACCCAGGCTGTCAAACTGCAAAAACATCCTGGAGACCCAGCAGTGTCTGCAGCCTCAGCAGATAACGCAGCGCCCGCCCTGCCCGGGCCTCCTGCAGCCGTCGCCTCCCCTGGGCCCTCGATGGCCGGAGGCAGCCRGGATGCGGCCCCGGCCCTGCCGGAGGCGACGGCTGCCGACCCTCCCGCGGGCCGTGCGGCTCATCCGAGGCCCTCGCAGCCTGGCTGCGGTGAGGCGAGTGCTGCTCCAGCTGCAGCTGGCCTGGGAATGGAGAGTGACGTGCAGCAGCTCGCACGGGATGCAGGAAGCCCCCGGGAGCCCCTGCCCGGTACTGCTGCACACAGGGGAATCCAGCAGAAAGAGGTCCCGGGCAGCGCCGAGCAAAAGCCTGGGCAGGGTGAGGGTGGCAACGAGGCGAATGCCGTTCCCGTGGTCAAAGCCAAGAAAGAAGAYATGACGGTGCTTGATCCTGAAGGGGTGACGAATGTTAGCGGCGAACTCGGTGCCGTGGCTGTCAAGGGCAGTTCAGAGGATGCTGGGGAAAAGGGACGTGGCGCAGAGCCAGGCGGGATGAGCYGGGCCCTGCAGAGCGGCGGCCGGGGCTCTGCTCGCGCTGCCCCTCTCGCGGAGGCCTCGGCGGCTCCCCCGCAGCAGCAAGGCCTGCGGGATGAGGAACCCGGACGAGAGCTGGAGACGGCGGCGCCTCCGGCCTCAGCCCGRGCTTTGCCGAGCCCCACGGAGAGCAGCCGGCAGCCCGGCCCCGCCACCGAGGCCAAAGTGCAGGTGAAGCAGTCCAAGCACGTCAGGGACGTTGTGTGGGATGAGCAAGGCATGACGTGGGAGGTTTATGGAGCTTCCCTCGACCCGGAGTCCTTGGGAATTGCCATCCAGAACCACTTGCAGAGACAAATACGTGAACACGAGAAACTGATCCGGGCTCAGAACACTCAGAACCGGAAATCCATTTCCTCGGATACATCCTCAAACAAAAAACTGAAAGGGAGGCAGCATAACGTATTCCAGTCCATGCTGCAGAATTTCAGGCGTCCTAACTGCTGCGTCCGACCCGCTCCTTCCTCTGTGTTAGACTGAAGCGGGTTGCAGGGGCGGACAGATGCCTGCCGCGCTGTAGAGCCCCCGGTCYCCTCAAGTCTTAAGTCCTGCTGTTGAGTTGTGTTATTGGAATCGTGGTGCAGCACCAGTGGAGATTATTGCCCCTTGTTTCCCGAGTAGTCACTCACTCCATCATGCCTTTAGTATTGCCACAGCTGGTGTATTGCCCAGGACAGGATGCACCCACCCATGTACTGCCCCGTGAAAAGCTAGGCACTTAGCAAAAGCACAGTCCTTAATTGCTGCAGGGAGAGCAGGACGTTCTGATAAGGCACCAAGCAGAGAGAAGATGGTCAGAATTATTACCTGAAATGATTCTCATGCATGGCAAGGTCTTACGCCAGGGCATGGGCTGGGGGAGTCTGGATGAGGTGAAGTTAAGACTAAGCAGCTGTAAACAGCTAATGCTCTCCAACAATAATAGAAGACAACTTTCCTTACCTTTAAGTTACCCACACTGAGAGAGTTTATGCCAAGGCTAGGGACACTGGTCGCGGATCAGCCTCGCTGCTGCTCCTGCTGCTGTGGGTGTAGTTTGTGGGGCAGCCTGAGGGGAAATGTAGAGCCAAGGAAGGAGCGAAGAGCAAGGTTGAAGGAGAGTCTCTTGGGAGAAGAAGTAAGTTAAGAAGTAAGTAAAGTAGGTTAAGTAAGTTAAGAAGTAAGTTAAGCTGGCTAGAACAAGAGGTGGGAGAGGGAGGTACAATTCTGTGGCTGATTCAACCCCGTTGAATCAGCCACGCTGAAGACTTGTGCAAGTGCAAGCGGGCAGGATGGAGAGGTGTGAGGTAAGGTGTGAGGGAGCCCTGCACTAGGCTGCCCGTGTCTGGGCACAGGCGAAAAAGGCAGCGAGCGCCTGGGGCATCTCCAGTGCTCTGCTTCTCCGACAGCGCTGGACACCTCTCTTCTGTCAATCTCTTTTTAAAAACACAGGTGTTTTTCTTTCCTGAGAGATGCATGCTGGTGTTTTCAAGTAGAAGTAGGCTGTGCTGTGCATCGGGGTCCACTCGCCCACCTGTCTAGTATGTGCTCTGCTCTGATGTTTTCCTTTTAAGTCCTTGTCCTAATCTGTCCTTTTTTTTGTAGTAGTAGTAGTAGTAGTAGTTTGATGCTTTTCTTGCTGCCTTTCATGAACTCGATACCATTTAATTAGCCTGTGCGTATTTTATGTTTTACCTAAGCCTGTGTATATTATAAAGCGTTATACTGCTAACTTGAAACATTTATTTTACAGAAATACTGAAGTCTTGAGACAATCGTTACTGTATTTCTAATGTTAGAGAAGTTACAGAATCTGCTAATAAAAGGTAGCTTAGTGACTGTTTCTCTAGAAGTGTGATATACAATGATGTCTCAAATGTGTTTGTCACATTTCTCAGATTAATAATATTTTTTCCGAGCTGGGGAGTGTGTTTTCCACTGTTTTTTTTAATCCTGTACACTAGAGTCCATGGGAAGTTGGGGAACTCCTGCAGTTTGTAGCAAATCTAGTTTTCATTCCAGCAGGGCATTGAGGATTTGGATGCTGGAATCCTACAGAGGACTGGAGTTAAATAGGAATTATTTTTATTCCATTAAAGATTTTCCATTAATCATGATGATAATTTGTTTCTGTCTGGACTACCATACACCGGACTTGTTGTGTAATTATTTTACAGGTTTGCACAGTGTAAATTGTTTTTATTTTAAGTAGCAGCCTTGACATGATACCTTTTTAGTCAGAGGACCAAAATTTATTAATATATCAACTGTGAGTCCTTCAAAGCAGCTGTTTGGGGACAGTTTTACCCATGAGGGGAGGTAAAATACAGCCACGTTTCTGAGAGCTGCAATATTTTAACCTAGTTCAATGAAAATTATTGTCTCTAGGCATGGTACTGAAATGACTCCTAATTTTCCTCTGGTATATTTGTAGACAGTTTTGGCACATCCTTTTTCCACCACTGTATGTTRTTTTAAGTCATCTTCCACCTGATGCTGAACTGTGCAGTCTGAAGCGCCACGTTAGGGAGCATCTTCTCACATCTGCTCAGTAAGAGCCAAGTTTTGTCTCTTTTTTGAATGCAGTTTCTCTCATCTCCCTAGCAGTGTTTGAGATGTGAATTTATGTGAAATTTTATGGGGGCTTAATACTGACAGCGTCATTAGTCAGGTGAGTTGCTAAGTGCAGTCTCTTACCATGATGTGTCTGTGTCAGCCCTGAAGAGGCTCCCAGGTTTTCCATGGTGTTTGCTGTCCCGGTCCGAGGCTTCRCTCTGCTCCTCCTTGTGCCTTCACCTCCCTTCTGCCCTGTCCTCGTTAGCTGCTGCTCAGCCTGTCTCCCTGTGGAAGTAGCCTGTGAACAAGCCCGTGTCCCTCTCCCTGCCGTCCTCCTTATTCTAGCATTGTGATCCAGCTTACTCTGAACTGTCCCTTTACAAATGTGCTCACTCTGAATATATAAATGGATTGTCGTGTTTTTCCAGAGGAGAATAAATGGCTATTCACCGGTTTCCATGAACTTTATCCTTTAACTCAAGCTCTCCACAATGTTGCCGAGATCTGTGTATGAGTTGTTGTGTTGAGACTGACATTTCACTTGGCATTTGTTTGCAGTGCATGAACAGTTTGCTGGACCAGCACTGGGACTTGCTCTTCCTTGTGAGCAGKCAGGGATCCCTCCAGGTACCTGCAGCTGCTTCCAGCTGTGGGTCTTCCCTCACCTCCGGCCCGAACTAACCTTTCTTCCAAGGCAATGTTGCCAGGATATATATACCACAACATGCTGGCAAGTGGATGCTGTGCCAGGTGGATGCACCTAAGAAGTGGAGAAGCTGTAGCGGTCAGCAGAGCATCGTGCTTCTGTGTTTGGAGGAAAAAAATTGCTCAAATGGCAATCTGAGGTGTGTCAGTGACACCGTCTTGTGGGCACAAAACTCCAGCGGGCTCTCACATCCACGCATTGCTGTGCCAACAACAACACACAAGAATGAGTCAATAATCCTCAGCATATCTTGTGTAAAATATTTTGTGTTTTCACTTAGTGATAGTAGGGCATAATATAGGCAAACTGGTAATTTAACACCAGGCCTCAGGTGTGACTCTTACCCTTACAAGATTTTGGCCTTTGCTGTTTCCGATGGAGTGATGAAGGTTTAGCATCTCTCACGCTTTTGGGCAACAACAGGATCTACAGTACAGAAACAAGAGCTSGCTCTTGTTTCCCTCCTTATCTGGTCTCTAAGGTGCTCTTCCACACCCCTAACTTACCAAATGAAATACCTGTCCAGGCTCCGTGCTGGGCAGAAAGGGCAGCGCTTGGGTCTGCAGGCGGCCACGCTGGCTCCGCATCTCTGGCAGTGCCAGCTGTGCACGCAGCCTGGTGTCTGCACAGCCTATAGGGGCTATAGTGAGCACCAAGGTGCATGGAGGACAGAACCACGGGTTTTGTTATCCATGGTATCCATGGGGTTTGTTAGACCTTAAGTTTTTCTGTGTTGAGTCACCATCTGTTGAGTAGAAATACGTGACAAAACTGCMTTCAATATCTTCAGCAATCTTTTGCTTAAGAATTTTAAGCAGTATCCCTCTGATATATCTCAGTGGCTGAGCTACAGTGCTTGACACTTGTGTTAAGAGGTTCTCCTGATAACACTTAGTTCGTAGTGATTAGTCCTAAGTAAGTTGCACCCAAGTTTAAGTGCTGCCGTAGGGAGTTAACTACCTGGAAGAGAAAGATCTGAGCAATCAAGTGCTCAGGTCTCAGCAGCAAACTGAGGAGTGATGTGAGTTTATGCTCAGAGTTAAAGGGAGGAGAGATGGTTGGTGAATTTGGAATTACTTCTCTTTGCAAATGCCATGAAAATGTTGGCCACAGTTAAGTCAGCAGCAGCAGCAAACTAATTGGGGGCTTCTCAAGACAAGTAATATTATCGTGGCTTTATTTTTTGTTCAGTTCCACTGACTGAATGTGATGTAGTGCACCAAGGAAAGCTGGTCAGGCTACCAGTGCACTGTAGCATTCATTTGAGACACACTGCTAGAGTTTTGCATGTGAGGAAGTCTTAGAGATGGTACTAAAGTGTAAGCGTTACTGACCTGGGTGAGTCCTGCAGGAATTTGATGTTTTGCTGTTTTACATCTTGTGGTTTCCACAATGAGTGCAATAAAATGAACGCTGTCTTAGTTATTCTAGGTGTCTACTTGAAGGCTGGCATGAGAAAGAAAGGATTTCTTAAGTGTCACTGSCTTTTCTGGCTAAGCTAGAACATCTGTAAGGAGCAGCAGCAGCAGTAAAGGGTGTTCTGAGTTGAGGCCTCCGGCTGGGCACCTCTCGAAGGTGAGGTGCAGTGGAAAACCAGCGTGCTCGGTCCCTGCCAGCAAAGAGACCTTTCTGCTTCCTCCTGTGCAAGTGCCATTGATTTTTCACAGGTATTTATTAACACAGGTTTTTCTTTTGGTGCCAATTACTGTACAGTTGGACTTGAGTTCACTGAACCTTCCATCAACCCCTTGCCGTCCAGCACCGTCTTGCTCACCCAGCTCCGCTCCCCAGGAGCAGCCTCCTGCCCCAGGACGTCGAAGGCAGGATTGTCACTTGGTGCTGCCACTGCTACAGCAAATCAGCGCTCCCCGCTCGCCCCTGCAGTCACACGCACACCAATGGTGCAGCCTGAATCACAACTCAAGCCGCTGCCCTCAAAGGAAGTGAGGTTTTATCTGATAGTACAAAAAAAGGGAAGATAAGTGGCAAAGACTGTGAGCTCTACAGCAGCAGTACAGGGATAGTGTGGCCACAAGCGTGGCTCRTTGTTCTGATTCAGCCTACAGCTCTTAGTCCTGTGCTTGGGGCAGCTGTGCAGTGTCCTTTATTAAGGACCTTTGCTGGGTTCCTTGCTGTGTGGCTCAGGTTCCTGTGTGTTAGTGGCAGCCAAACATTAGTTGTGAACTGAACGTGCCAGGGGTGTTTTTTTTTCCCTTCAGTAGTTGGGATTATTCAGCTGCTTGCTACAGTTGGCAGTCTCTGTTTGTAGGCAGCGAAACTACTGAGATCTTTTCATTCTTAACTCACTCAGTCTTACTGCAGTACGGAARAATCATAAAGATGCTTATCCCTAAGGGACCAGCCCAGCAAAAAAGGACTAGTACTCAAATCTACAGAAGAAAATAAGCCTGCATCCTATCAAATGAGTTATAACCAGTGCATGGTTTCCATCCCACACAGTTTTTATATCCTATAACAGTTCCAGTATGATGCTGCCTGCCCAGATAAAGAATATTTTTGGCTCCTTGTTCTTGCATGAGCTGATTTATGGACTACCTGAATTTCCAATCAGCAGCAGTTCATCCCCGAATATTTGCTTAGCTGCTTCAACCAGATATCCAAAGTGCCATGGATTTGAGGATTAAAATCCCATCAAAACCTCTCTGCAGTATGAGACAGTTGTGTCAATAGAAACATTGCCACTTCCTCACTGATGTTCAAATTTCTGCTTGAAGAGCCTTGAATACTTAATTGCAMAAGACTTTTTTTTAAAATCTCACTAGTTAAATCTTTGACTGATTATTTAGATAAATGTTGTCTAATTTATGAGAAGTGTAGAGTGCTCTTACYCCTTGTTAGATTTTGGAGACTTGGTAGCTTGGTAGCCCTGCAGGGAATGCCGCTGGTAATTAGATCCCCGTACTCAGCACGGTGGGAGGTAACTTGCAGGAGATGGTTATGAATAGTGTTCGTGTAGATAGTGACCCATATAGAATTATCTTTGGACCAACAGAAAGTTGTCTGTGCAAATTAAGAAATAGCAATTTATCCACCGTTGCTAGACGTATATCAGGACGTTAGCAAGAGGGTGAGGATACAGCTGCACGGAGCATGGTTGTGTGGACGTGTGGTCATTTGCAAGACAAGACTGTGGGCGCCAGCCTGTCTTTGCTGTTCCATCTTTGTGTTGAATTAACTTCTTGAAAGAAAGGATGATKTCTAACAGCCTGCTGTGGACTTCGGCACAAGGAAGGGATTTGGATCAGTCATGCTGAGGTTCTGCCTTAATTCCATAATTCTATTTATTTCTTTTCCTAATTAGAAACTCG